TTTTTTTTTTTTCTAATTTCATTTCACAGGCAAGCTCAGAACAGTCTGAAAATACCAAGATAACACTTGTAAATTTGTGACAATCACTACAATATCCCATATCTGTGTTTTTAAAAATACTCTTTATCCACTAACACTATCACACATTAGAGATCCTTAATCTCCCAACTCCAGGGAAGAATAAAAATTCTGGCTTATCCTAAGATTCCTTTCTGAGATCACAACAAGAAATCCCCTTGTATAAGCAAGAGACATGCATTTCGGTAACATCAAATATATACTCTTCTCCCTTGCGGAACACTTACTCTTCCCATCCTCTTAATACTAAAGTTCACCCTCCAGAATAGGGGGTATAGAGAAAGCAATGAAACACTGGGACAGCTGAACATACCTGCCCATTTTCTCAAGAGCCTTTTGTATCCTAGCACATCTGTCCAATCCTTTTTTTTTTTAACATGACACCATAGGCTGAGGCCTGTAATAAGCGGGAAGAGAGATATCAGAAGTTTTCAGCAAGAACTTAACAAGGCATTCATCTTCTTTAGTGTGAATTGGTCTGGGGGTGGAATGGGAGGACTTGGAAAAAGGAAGAAGAAAGGGACTATCTTTGAATAAATGCGAACACATTTATTAGAAACTATTCACAATCAGATAACTTAAAAAGTAGGTCATTATTTTAAAAATATTTCTGAGGATGTAAGCCTTAATAACAACAACTCTTAGTCACAAACTTGAGGAGATTGCCCAATAATATGTTTACGTGTATTTGAACTAAAAAACTGTTAACCACTCTTGTTCCTCTAGGATGTGTGAGGCCATTCAAGGGCTGTGGGCCCTGGATATACACACAAATAAGTGTGTGTATATCTGAAGCCCCTCACACTGTAATAAACACAGCTGCATTTATTTGAATATGTGCTCCCATGTACATGTAAGACATTCAAACAAACACACTCAGCAGATTTATTTGATTGTGCAATGGGGCAATTATTCAAATAAACATGCTTGATGCAATTATTTGAATCTCACATTCCATGTTCATCAATCACTGCACTAAAAAATGAGGGGAAAAACACCAAAGAATTTATGTGGGAAAAAATATATGTGAAAACAGCATTATTATAGATTTTATAGGATAGCTAAAGTTATGGCTTCCTTCTTAAGTGTAACTCAACTATTATGTATTCAATGACATTTGTTTCTAATTATTAATTACTTCACTCACTTTATCATTGTATCAAAATGAACACAACATTTAGATTCATACAATATCAAAATTTACAAACCATTATTGGATAGGAATGTGAAATCGCTGTATTTCAAAAGCAGAGTATCAAGGGGACGCTGGTCAAATTATTATGGGTTAATTATACACTTGTAAATTTCAAATATTTTATACATGCCACAAAACATTCCTACTTTTGAAGACTATAAAGCTACAGGTGACTCATCTGATCATTTTATATATTAATAAATATTACAACATATATGTGAACACATCACAAATCGTACTGGTGAACTAAGAGGCTATATATGCCTCTCTTAAGTATGTACTGACACAATCTAATATACTAAAATGGGAAGGGGCTTTTGGTCACTGAAATATGCATTGTGTAACAAAGATAAAGAAAATACATGGCTTGTGCCCATCATAAAAAAAAAAATTCAGACTGAAGGCTTAGCTTTGGTTTTTATTCAATTAAATTGTTAAACTGTGCACAGTGAATTTTTTTTAGAACTTGAGACATTTGTGATGTTGGCTGTTTAAATCTTTGTTACCTTCGCTGTGAATTGGAATTGTACATATTTAGTAAATCATGCAGACAAAACAAACTTTTTAGACAATATTTTTATTGAAGAATTTTCTTTTCCTGTATCCATGTCAAAAAAAGACCTCCTTTCCAAAAATAAAAATGTCAATACTAAATTTACAGAAGTATAAAGGAATGATTGCTTCCTTTAGAGCAAAATATTTAAATAAACATGGAGATAATTGGCAACACGTTCTTTTTTGGGCTAATAGGCCGTGTCCAATTTTTTGGGTCTGATGTTATAGAGGGCCTCTGTTTCAGGGTTGAAGGTGATATATTAATCTCCGAATTAAACAAATGC